AGTAAAACATATCTGAGGCAAAGGAGGTTTCAGTGATGGAAAAGAGTGAGATATAAGATGTGAATACAGAAGGAAGGTGGTTTGCGAATAAAGAATTTAGTTAGTTCAGATCCACCGAATAACGTGTGCAAGTTTTGGAACTGATGACAGAGAGGTTCCAGAAGATTGTCCATTTAAATTTAGGATTAGGTGCTTGGGATATTACACTATTAAAATATTGCGCTTGGCGCGGCATAAGGCTATTTGTGTCCCGTTTCGTAGGGATTTGAAGACAGAGTTGGGGCAGTCATGTACGTCTGTATCATCTTCTGGCTGCTTTTTTTCATCTCATTAACTCTCTAATTTCTGAATTTATCCAAGGAGCAGGAGGACGTACAAAAATATGGGTTTTAAGAGGAGAGTGACGGTTAAGGAAATTAAGAAGGTTAGAAGAAAAACATTCCACCATGTCATCGATGGGGGAAAGGGAGTATGGGTTCTAAGAAAACAAATAGGGGATCCAGATAAGGACTGATGTTTTCAATAGTTAGGGAATCCAAATCTCTCCAGGAACATTGTATGAGATTTCGATAAGATTATGAGATGAAAGAAAGAAAACAGGGTTTTACGAGGAGGATAATAGGTTTTGGGGAAATCGATGATATATAAGTCTAACCAGGTATCAGTGGAATGGGTATGATGGGTGGACTGGAATGGTACAATAAATGTCTAGGAAGAAAACAGGTCAACAAGGTATGTTCTGTCCGGAGAGACTTAAAAAAGGTTAGTGTTAACGCCACAGCGTTAATTTATTTTATTTTATTTTTAATTTAAGATTATCAAGTGTCATGGCCGCAACTGAAGTTCAACATTCGTATCGTTCTGTCTTTGATACTTTGTTATCTAGTTATTATCTCAAATCCAGTTCTCAGATTTTGTAAACAGTGAGTTATAAACAACTTAACCGTTTTACATTACAAACAGTGAGGTAAGTGATTTTTTATTAACAATTAGCAACATTAAATTGGTGCTCGTTTGCTAGAGATAGCTTGAGTGGCAGATCATTCCCCTCAGCGGGTCTTATCTTTCAAGTTCAAGGTCACGGCGCTTCGTATTATGTTCAGACTATCTTGAGTTCGTACCTAAGACAATGTATATATACCTTTTTCCTCTCTGTTTTTATTTCTTAATTCATTATTTTATTCTATTTTTTTTTACTGAGACTCTTTATTTTATTCATTTACATATTTTTTTTTTTTTTAAAGATTTGTATATAAATTTGACACATACGCCTTCCAAATCAACAGATCATCCTTATCAAGAATCCAGGAAACAATGTTCAGGGACCACGATGAGGAATAAGCAGCCGCGAAGTCAAACGCCTCAGACTTCCAAACCTAAGATCCAGACCTTCAAATCCTAGACTCACTTCTCCCTACATTCAGTCAAAATCACCACATCAGCAAATGCCTCCTCATCAGATACCTTTACGTGTAAAATTATCGCCTGAATATCCAACCCATGTTCATTGCCATCCTACTGCTCATATTTACTCTCCCAAGTTCCATTTACATACGATTCAGTCCCTCGCACATCACGATGGGTACATCCTTCATCAAACACTCCTTATCATAAGAGCTATCCCTCACGAACCCCTGATCAAAACTAACCTGACCAACAAAACCCAATCGACTTAACAAACTCCACCCTTGCGTCCTTCCTAGGAGATCTCCAAGTGACTATCAAGCCTCTAATCACCCTCCTCATAAGAACCCTTACCGAAATTCCCTTTAATCCCTCACAATGAGCACAAAGCCCCTAGCTGTTCTTTTATGGAATGCTAACGGACTACACAACCACCGAGACGAACATGACATTTTTCTGCTTGACTACCACATTGATATTGGTCTACTGACAGAAACTCACTTCACTCAAAGTTCATATTTCTACATACGTTACTACATAACTTATAGATCAGACCATCCTCTTGCATCCTTATCCATTAATCCTTAACCCATTCCTTCGTTCATTCTAACCCAACTGAGGCTATTCAAGCAACATCAGTAATCATCCCAACTCGTCCTTTCCATTTAACACTCTCAGCTGTATACTGTCCTCCTGGTCATACTCTTACCTACAACTTACTTAAATCCTCATTTCAATCCTTCGGATCGCGCTTTATTGCAGAAGGAGACTACAATGCTGAACACCAACGATGGGCTTGTAGAGAATCCAATTCCCGTGGTAACATACTATCTTCTGTTTCAACTTCCAATAGCTGCTCTGTCCTCTCTCCTATGAATCCAACCTATTGGCCAACTTCCCTCAAAAACGCCCTGATATTCTGGACATATTTGTCACCACCCAGATTTGCTCTTCCCCTGTCAAATCAAACCCTGGATGACCTCTCCTCGGATAATTCTCCAGTTCTGATTTCATTACACACAACCTTTGCTCCTAAGCCCTCGACCCCTCCTACACTGATTACAGAACGAGTAAACTAGGTCACATTTCGTAAAGACCTGGAAAATAAATTGGACCTAAATATTGCACTTAAGACGAAACATTACATTGACACAGCCATAGAAGTACTTACTACATCTATAAGTGACAAAATCGATAAGACATCTACCAATTAAATCAACAACTCCCAACAGACAAATTTGCCACAGAATATTCGTATCTTATTAAGAGAAAAACTCAGAGCATGATCGAAGTGGCAAAGGACTAGATATCCCTCAGATAGGACTTTTTTTTTTTTTTTACCTCGGATGTAATTCTTCTAGGTCTCGGTAATTTCCGTCTGGTCATCGAGTTATACTTATGGTATTGGCTATAGGGTTTGTTAAATCTGCCAAAGAGCTTGTTTTATTTTCGTATGTAACACAAATCAACTGTAGATTTCGTGCCGGTGTGCCTTTTGGGATTACATTACTGGATTTGTCTGAATTTCGATTAAAATCTTTTTTTACGATATCAAAAGATTATATTACACAATAACAAACGTAGAGAAACTATACCCCGAGAGAGAAATTGTGCAGTGACCATCGTCTGGCGTACGTCCACACGAAGACTTATTGTCACCATCTGCCTCGTTGAGTGAAGTGCGGTGAACAGCACAAATCTGTGGATTGCACCAAACCGATACAAGATCCTGCAGTGTGTGCACTATGCTTGAAGGGGCACCCGGCCCACTACAAAGGCTGCCAAATTTACAAAAACCCAAATCCAGACACTTGAAAAACCGGATTCAAGATGAAGCAGTAAGTCCAAAAAAAGAGGATTTAAACTAAGAGAGAGCTTAACGTAATTGGTCCAGTCTGTGAGGATTTAAACATTTGTTTTGAAATATTCATTAATTTATTGATAATCATATTTTCTCTAATACTGGGTAGGTCAGAAGTAAGCAATGGGGCCTAAAAGAGATAAAGATGAAATTCATCTGGCTGACTTTAAAGATGAATTAGGAGAATTAGGCAAAGATATTACAGAAATAAGGGATATCGGTACCGATTGCTTGAAAAATCCTCATAGGATAAATTTATTTAAAGTGCGTCTGTCTAAATTAGACGATATATATGTTAAATTTCAGGGTTTAATTAGGGAGGCTAAATCATTAGCGAAAATTCTGGAAGATGCATCGATTTTAAAAATCGATGATTTGAGAATCGAAATTAGAAATATTTATTACGAGGCAATATATCTTGGGGTTTTGGGAGAACTTACTACTGTTAAAGCGACGACAAGTGACGGTAGATATATGCAGTTCGAATCCCGTATTAAATTACCGACAGTAAATTTACCCACGTTTGACGATCAAATTTCTAAATTGGTATCATTCAAAGATACATATACGTCACAAATTCATAATAATACTCTGTTGACCGAAATTCAAAAATTTCACAACCTCAACTCGGCTTCAAACGGTTCAGCACTTCAGTCTATTGCGGCAATACTGACCACGTCAGAAGGTTATCAACAAGCCTGAGCAATTTTAGTACAAAAATATGATAATAAAAGAATCCATACCACAAACTATCTTATTAATGTAATTAATTTTAAACCGGTCTCTAAATTTGATTTTCGCTCATTAGAACATTTTGAAGAGGTCATATTAGAAAGTGCGACAGCCTTCCGAAATATGAATCTTGAGGAAACTTCCAGATTCATTTTGTTTTCATACTGCATAAGGTTAATAAATTCTAAGACGCGAAAACGTTTTGAAACCGAATTTGGGTTCTATACTGAAATTCCAATTTTTGATGATTTTTTAAATTTTATTCAGCGACAATGCATTCAATTACAAACAGACTCCTTAACCTCAAATATTGGTGCAAAGGTTTTCAACCGCAAATATTACAAACAGTATCAAAACGTGTTTTAATGTCGACAGATAGTCCTTTAACTGCCAATATTTGTCCGTTGTGAAGAGGAAAAGACACCGCTTGTATAGGTGCCCGCGCTTCCTATCAATGAAAGCAAGTGAACGATTCAATAAATTGAGACTATGAAACTTATGTTCCAATTGTTTAAAACCTGGTCATTATGTCAACACGTGCTCAAATATTGCTTCATGTCTCCATTGCAAAAGGCGGTATCATACATTATTATATTTTCCCACTTTTACTCCCAGTTCGCTAAGTAACGCGCATGGACAGTCCTCTACAAGTTCATCCACTTTACAAAATAATATAATTTCCGAAACTAACACCGTTTCAAATAACGTACCAGGATAAGAAAATAATATTGTACGGAGAACCAATGAAACAAAAGCCATAGTTCTGTCATCATATTCCGTCACCAATGTCTCAATTCTTTTGGGAACAGTATGGACTAGAATAAAGGATAATAGCGGGCGATACGTTCCTATTAGGATTTTAATAGATTGTGGGTCACAACGTTCGTTCATCTCTTCAAAATGCGTGCAAAATCTAGGAATAAGACGATTTACTAACCCGCAGGCGTTACAGAGTTTTGGCGATAGTCCAATAAAGGGAGGGGAATACCAAATTCGTTGCATATTAGTTCCCAAATACATTTAGTTTCCTAGTCTCATAACCGATGCAGAAATTGCTCCTAATATTACTGGCAGTATACCGACCAGCCCAATACCGAGCAACATAATCTGGCCCAGTCGACTTTTTATTTGGGGCAGATTTGTTTGGGCGAATTTTAACTGGTGGGTGCATAGATCGGGAAGGATATCCTAATGCACTCCAAAGCATTTTCGGTTGGGTGATAATTGGACCCATAGGCTCTATGGCACTATCTCTAGTGATTTATCTAAATCGATTTAGCTTATTACATCGTATAAGGAATCCGAGGATACACTGGATAGAACATTAGAGAAATTCTGTGAGGTCGAAGCAATCCCTGAGACATCTAAAACAGATCCCGAAAATGTCATTGCAGAAGATCATTTTCGATCAACTCATTCCCGGGATCTAATCGGACGCTACATTGTCCGATTGCCATTTAAACGACCGGTTTCATGTGATCTGGGTAGTTTATACAAAATCGTCCTCAACCGTTTTCTTAAATTGGAGCATCGGTTAAATAAGGTTTTAATATTAAAAGGAAAATATTCTACTATAATTAAAGAATATTTGGAATTGGGATATGTCGCACCAGCAACTAATCCGGGCCAATATTATCTAAAACACCATGGTGTTATAAAAGATAATACTTATGCAAAACTGGGTATTGTTTTTGATGCATCTTCATCAACTGAATTTGGCTCCCTCAATGACCATCTCCTGATTGGTCCTAAATTACAGCTAGGAATTAGACATCCGCTCCTTAATTTCAGGCGTTACCCAATTGTAATTGTCTCAGATATATGCCACATGTTTCTACAGATATTAATGCACAATAAGGATATCCCATATCAACATTTTCTCTATCGCGTTGATGCATCTCAACCAATTGCGGAATGTCATTTGAATAGACTAACCCTCGGTCAATCGTGCTTTCCATATCTAGCGATTTGAAAATTACAGCAAAACTTTCTTCCAACAGAATCTAAAACTGCAATGAAAGCGTTATTCTTATTATCTCCATTTTTAGATAGCCTAGAGATACTCAGAGTGGGCGATCGTTTAAAAAACAGCCCTTTACCCTAAAATGCAAGACACCTAATTATACTCCCTCAAAAGGCCCATTTCAAAAAACAGATCATTATCACCAATCTCATCTTCATGCTGGTCCACAACTCTTACAATCTATTTTGATACGGAACTATTGGGTATAGAGTTCACAAATGTATTATTTGCTTCAGATTTCGTTCGAAAAATTTCGCCTCTCTTATGTCCGACCTCCCACCTTCGAGGTTCGAGGAAGGGAGGCCCTTTGTAATCGTTATTTGTATATTTAAGTACTGGAGCTGAGCATCTTTAACTTGTGTCACAGTTAACCACGTATGCCTTCCTCGCATGTCTTGATAGATTTGATTCCCAGTCGAGGGTTACCGAGTAAAATTTTGTCCGACAATGAGAGTAACTTTGTAGGGGCAAGTAGGTACTTAAGGGATGCCTATCATTGGCTCAACCAGGAAGAAACCAAAAATAACATTAAGTCACATCTCCATCCTCTCAGGGTTGAATGATAATTCATTCCACCAACTACACCACATTTCGGAGGAATATGGGAAGCAGGGGTAAAAGCATTCAAATATCACTTGCTTCGAATTTTAAAGGATCATATCCTTACAATCGAAGAAATGAACACAATTTCTCACTAGAATAGGGCCTATCCTCAATTCAAGGCCTTTTTATCCTTTGTATGATTCAACCAATAATCTGGATGTATTGACCCCGGGGCATCTTATAATAGGCACTCCCCTCGTTGCTGTTCAAGAACCAAATTTTCTCGAAACCCCAATCAACCGACTCTCGCTGTGGCAACTTTTGCAAAAACTCACAGAAGACATTTGGAAGAGATGGAGGGGCGAATACTTTAACTGCCTTCATCAGAGAGTCAAATGGTCCAATAGACAGGAGAATGTCTAACCAAATGCCTTAGTTTTGTTAAGTGAATCTAACATACCTCCATTGCAGTGACCAAGGGGAAGAGTGATGGCAGTCCTCCCAGGTCGTAATGGGGCTGTGAGAGTAGTGAAACTTAAAACCGCGAAGGGAGAACTTATTCGCCCTATTACGAAATTAGCAGCATTACTATCTCCTGATTGATGTGAAATGTGTAAATTTTGCCCAGAGACAAAATTGGTGGGCGGTATGTTAACGCTACAGCGTTGATTTATTTTATTTTTATTTTAAACATTAATCTGGTTAATTGATATTTTTGTTTGTCTCATAAAATAAAATAAATTAATAATTATATATATATATATATATATATATATATATATATATATATATATATATATATATATATATATATATATATTTATTTATTTATTTGAACGTGAAACAGCCCTGAAGGGCTACGCGACTATGATACTGGTTTCTTTTTCAATTTCTTCCTTTCTGCCCATCTCTGCTTGAGGATATCGCTAAATTTTTTCTTCCTATCCTCCGTCCACTTCCTCCTGGACGGAAGTTCCTTACTGTCCACCACATGCACCGCACTTTTCAGGAATTTCTTGTATTCTGTCCTATCCTCACATAATTCCGTGTTATCCCAAGCCTCTGTATTTCCTGTTTTATTTGTACCGTATATCCATGGTTAAACTTGTATCCCATAACCCTACTGAAAATCTTCTTGTTTAACCTCTCCTCGGTCATCCTTTGCATGTGTCCATAAAACCTAAGTCTTCTTACCCTCATTTCCGTTTGCAAATCAGGGGTTTCACTGTAAATCTTCTTATTGGATTTCAGTCTGTATCCTTCTGGTGTTATTTTGGGCCCATGGATTCTTCTAAGAATCCTTCTTTCTATTTTCAGCAGTTTCTCCAAACTGGGAAAGAACATTGTCTCCGTTCCGTACAGTATCACTGGCTTTACCACTGTATTGTAGTGCCTGATTTTGGACTTTTTGGAGAGGCATTTTTTATTATAAATGCTACTCGTTAAGTAGCATAATTTCTCCAACTTTTTTATTCTATACTCCATGCATTCTTTCTCCGATAAATTTCTGCTGATTATTTTGCCCAGGTATTTAAAGCTTTTAACCACCTTGATTTTAACGAATTCTATTTTTATTTCTGTCTTCCTAAAGTTGGTGTTTGTGGTCATAAATTTAGTCTTCTGGAAGGAGATTTTAAGTCCAGAATATATATTTATATATATTCATAGGCCCATAGCTTATATTGTTTATATTCAATAGACTGGTCAATAGCTTATACTTAATTGTTATGGATTGTAGCCCTAGCTATAAACAAGTCCTAGGTTCAAGTCCTAAGCCCGTAGACTCCGCAATACACTGTCTGACTCCGTCCATCACAGAGCCCAGTGCTGTTGCCAAGTACAAAGTGGTTGTTGCCAAGGCTCATTTCTTCGCCGAGTTTGTTCTCTCGGTACGGTGACTTCTCGACAGAACTCGGGGAAAGACTGAAACGATTCATGAATGGCTTAATAAGATTTATCAATGAAACCCCGAGACGTCCTCCTATTTTCCACTTCAATGCTGAGTTAATGCGGCTCTTCACCTCCTTCAGAACACAATAATTTCTGCCTAAGAATACCGTCCTACGCACACAATTTCCTTCAATTCAAGTCAGCTTTTGACCCAAAAATTTTTCCAAATCTTCAACCCGAAAGATCCTCCTAGGAGTGAGAACTTATAGTATGTTTACCTCCTTAATATTCAAAACAATTTCCTAGACTATAAGTAGAGGGAATTTTTATAGGAGTGATAGTAGACCTTAAGAGCTACAAAAAAGTTAAATAATAGGCCAATGTTAGCAGAAATGTAGGAAATCCAAGTTTTTTAAGTTAGTCGTGTTTTTTATTGAATCGAAAGCAATAACTAAAGAAATATTTAATTAAGTAATTAATGATAACTTCATTGTAATCAGGACTTTTGTGCGATTAAACTAGGCTAAGTTCTGTTTTTATAAAAATTATAAATTCTTCGCAATTTTGTTTAATTATCATGCAACTATACTACTGTACCCACTTTACTTTAAGTTCGTATTAATTAAGTTGAGGTTTTAATGGAAAATTTTGAGATTCAGCTCAAGTTATGTTTTTTTATCCTGTCAAATAAAAGTACCCCTGTTTTCAAGCAAAAATGACTACAATTAATTGTTGCAATGCTTTAATTTCTTGTTTTTCTCATGATCTGGGGTGTATTTAAATAAAAATAATTGCTAATGCAATGTATTAATACACACATTTTTTTTAAGAAAACAATTATTGGAAAAATAATGACTTGTCAAATATTTTTTTCCGGAAATTGGTTAAAACGCAGTTTAGTTTTTCATTCAGATCTGCATTTATAAGTGACAAAATAAATGTTTCTAGTCTTAAAATCTACGTTTAAAATAAAAAATCTGGTGCGCGCAACTTTCCCTTACCGATCTACTTTGAATAGAAATTATTTTCTGGCAATGCTGGGCTATTATAAAATTTTTTGAAGTGTATTTTAAACGGAGCTAAAGCTTAATTAAAGCTTACAGATAACGAATCATTAAGACTATTATAATTACAAAATGTCTATTTAATATATCGACGACAGGCAATAAAAATCTAGTCACTCCATCTGCTTTTATAAACCACACAACTTTCTTGGCTTTTATAAACCACAGAATGACTAACTCCAATTTCAACATTTTTGAGTGATGTCATTTTAGTGATATTTTTAGTTGAAAAAGTTATCTATGCAGACGATGAGTAAGTTGATTCCAGAGGTGGTGATTGCAGTGTTGAAATATAGAACTGAGAATAAAAGTATAAATTTAGGTACTGCTGTCTTATGAAAGATGTTCTTAGGAAAGTCACTTTATTAAATATCTGTAGAAAAAAGTTTTTTTTTAGTCTCAACAATTAAAAAAAATTATTTTAAATTTATCCAAATTTTCGCCTCTTCAGGAAAAAAAAACTAGTGATCATAACTTTCCTCCTAATTGTCCAATTTCAACGACTTTTTTAGGAAATTCTATAAACTTATTAAAAAAAACATACAATATCGCCAAAAAAACTTTTTGACTTTAACTTTTTGAGTTATTCGGAATTCAATTTTAACATCCCTCGTAACGTTTTATCCAGCTTCTTTTCGTTGTAGTATGTTATATAAATAAACTTAAAGGGTATCGAGAAAATGACTT